CTATCAATTGAGAAGTCCTGTCTAGGCCGAGACTCGCTCAGTACACAACAACACTCATTAGTCTTATCAATATCCCATAGTTGCAATAACACTGACAACGAGGGCGCCGATAGCAATCAATAATGTAGAAATACTGAGACAAATCTTCAATATTGAGTAATCAACATGTACTCAGAACATTAGTTCTCTGTAACTTAACATTATACACATGATAGTTGACCTTTGGTAAAAAGTTGGTAGATAAAGTATCTCTACTTGGCAATTCTCACTGATCGCACGCAGGATATTACAGTAAATAAGGTGGGACCCGTGGATCTGAGCCTGACTACCTAGACCTCACAGTGGGTGGAAGATGCACCAAGCCGGATTAAGGATAAGTACCCCAAGCTTGTAGCAAACACTCCTCGATATGAACCCAAATACCTTGTTAGCATTTGTTTCGTGCACCAACATATTGATTGCCTTGATTTAAGGTTCCTACTTATCACTGACCTTAAATCTATCACAATCGGACTTTTCTAAATCAACGTTCTTCATCTGATAGCTGGCTTCCATATTTACATTTCCCACACTGACTACTTTACATTTTTCCACAATAAATTTCACCAGACCATCAGAAAAGTTTGTTTAGGTCTTCCCATAATTTTTCCGAGTTCTTGTCTCAATGAAGAGTTTGATATATCCAACTCTACATACACTGAGTGAATAAAGGATATGACCTGAATAGTGTAAAAAGTGTGTGTATGTTAGAGAGTATATAGTGTGTACCTGCGCTAGTATGTCTAGTGAGTGTACTTTGCGCGTGGTGTTCTTTAAGGAAGTGAAGTGTCAATACGCGTATACTTGTGCATGTTGGGTTGCTGCAGTTTCTTCCTTTCTTATGTTCTTAAATCCTTAAGTAAAATTAGGTGGCAAATTGGGTTCGAACCTGTGTGTTGGTTGTGGAGGGAAGTAGCCAAGTCAGTCTGTTGCTGCTGCACCTCCGCCAGCGCCTCCCTCATGCTGATGCTGTCTGCTGTGTTTTCTTGAGAGAGTTGCGACACTGTTGACGACGTCTCGTTCACCTTCGACGATATGCTCACCAAGTTCTCCTCCAAGGCTGGAAAAATATAAACTTATCTGTTGCCTCTTTTTTCCACAAATATAAATGTAATATATGGCGATATAAACCGAGTCATAATCGATTTTACAAGACAAAAATAACATGAAGCTAATAGCTTGCTTGAACTTTCTTTCTCAACATGTTTAGTATGACTTGCATTTACATGAACAATAACAGGTGAACATTTAAGGATGCAAAGGCCGTACCAAGTGACGGGGACTTCACGGGAACGCCTGACGACACACTACACAATGATGATCTCAGCTAATAACATCTTACTGTGTTGTATATCGCTGCAGTTACCTCCATTCTTATGTTCTTATCTGTATATTCTTAAGAGAAAAACTGTGACGCAGTATTTACAATACCATGATAACATAGGAACACTAAAACAAATGAACTAGTAAATTTTAACGATAAATAAATAATCTGAAACCGAAATTGGTAGTTATAAAAATACGAACGAGGATATATGTGCGTGCGTGTGTGTGTGTGTGTGTGTGTGTGTGTGTGTGTGTAATAAAATAAATAATAATAATAATTAACGGTTTATTGAAAGAGCTTGGCAGCCAGAAGGCTGAAAATACACAGTTACATATTTGGGGAATGGCACTAGCGTAGCTAGGGGGGCGGGGGGCGGCACTTTTGGGGGGCGGCACTTTTCGGTGAAGGATCACGAGATGCTGAATTGCCATACGACATTGAATTGAGGAGAGAAATGTTTTCTTCGCTGGACAGAGTGATCCAAGAAATAACTGAGATTTCAACAGCTTCATGAACTTGCTGAGAAATATGCCTTCCTTACCCCATTGAATCTTTTGGATGATAAATATGAGTGTCAAGTAGATCACGATCACGACGAGATTGATAAAGAGGAGTTCCTCGTTGAGAGAAAAGGACTTCAGCATTTTGTTGCTGTTGCTGCTATAACTATTAAAGACAGAATACAGACGTGGAAAGAAGGCCCCCTTGAACTTTTGCAGTTTATTCAAAAGTATAACCTTGGGAACTCGGTTCCAAATATAGTAATAATGCTGAGGATTTTCCTCACAATTGCTGTTAGTGTTGCTACCTGTGAGAGGAGTTTTTCGAAACTAAAACTGATCAAGAATTACTTAAGATTTACTATGAGCACCTAGCGGTTGAGAAATCTTGCCATACTGTCTATAGAGCGACAATTGACAGAAGAAATAGTTTTTGACAATGTCATTGAAGAATTTGCCAACAAAAAAACAAGAAAAGTTACTTTGTAGAAAGTTGTAGTTTTCATTTCAGAAATAAAGATGGTCCTAATTTTTTACACTTTTTTTACTTTTTTCCCTATCCTATATGTCGTTTTTGCTTTTTGTTTAACTGTTACTTATAAAGTTTAAGTATGTTTGGAGTGTATTTAAAGCATACTATATTTGAGTATGTGAAAGTACAGTAATATTATAATGGTACACAAACTATTTAATATATATATATATATATGAGTGAGTCACTGTGCAATATGTATTTTTTGTGGGGGCACGGGGGGGCGCAAACTCAAGGGGCGGGCACACACTCTAGCTACGCCACTGGATGGGTTTCGAATTACAAATAATATACAAGTAACATAAGTGATACAAATAAGATATATAATAACTAGATGGGGTAAAGCTCAAACTACAGTGCATTTCAACATAGTGTCAGTGCAAGGAGTAGTGTTTACTGGGAGTGAATGCACTGGTTTATTACAAGTTATTGATAATTTTTACAATGGTTGGTACTGGGCTGTTCTTATAGCGATCAGTTCGTGCACGTATGGGCTGGATGCGGTTGTGGTGTCGAACAGCAATTCTCGGGCTTGGGATCTCAGGTGGTAGAAGGAGCCGGTGTCGAGGATGGTGTAGAAGCTTCTTACCAAATTTGCAGATGAGGTCGTGGTGATGGTCAGTGAGAGTCGAAAGGGTCAGTGTGTTGAGCGCTTCTTGATATGTGGAGTAGGAAGGGGAGAGAATAATCTTGCATGCCCTCTTTTGCACTTTTTCTAGGTGTTCACGTTGTGTGGCATTTAGGGAGGAAGACCAGGTGGGGGAGGCATAGGTGAGCTTGGGAAGTATGAATGTTGTGTAAACACTGAGGAGCTCGGGTGCAGGAACTCCGAGGGACTTGAGTCGGCGGAGGAGGTGGAGACGGAAACTGGAGGATTTGACAACTTCACTGACGTGTGGTTTCCAATTTAGTTTGTTGTCTATGGTGACGCCGAGGAGCTTCGTGGAATCTACAACCTGGAGTGTGTTCGGACCTAGAGTAATGGAAGGAGGTGGGACAATGTCGGAGAAGAGGTTGATGTGCATAACCATGGTCTTGGTATGGTTGATGGTGACATGGTTGTTGGTGGCCCAGTTTTGGAGACTGTTCAATAAATCCTGAAGGGCGGTATAGTTGGGAGCAGAATTGTTGACGCTGATCCCAATGGTGGAGTCGTCGACATATTTCCAGCGAGCAGGGGTTTCTCTTAGGGCATCATTGATGAGCATAAGGAAGCAGAGTGGTCCCATCTTGGTGCCTTGGGGGACGCCACAGGTGAGTGACTGAAAGGTGGAGACAGCCCCTCGGAAGCGTACAGCTTGGCGTCGGTCACTGAGGAAGTCTGTAAGCCATGGTATAAGACTTCTCCGAAGCCCGAGGTCAATAGCTTTGTTGATGATTATATTGTGGTCGACTAGGTCGAATGCTTTAGTGAAATCAATGAAGGCGACAGCTACAGACGTTTTTCGTTTCTCGAGATGGCGGTATATGTAATCGAGAAAGCTGACAAGACAGTGAGTGGTGGAGGAAGTTTTCATGTTGCCAAATTGCTGAGGGTCTACGACTCCTGCAATATCAGCATAAACCCAGTCGAACACAAAACTTTCACAGATTAGGCTGGGTATTGGGGGGATTGCAATAGGTCGTAGCTGATTTAAGGATTGTGGGCTGGTTGACTTGGGCACTGGTGATACACAAGAGGTCTTCCAGTCAGCTGGGCATCTGGCTTGACAGAGAGAAGCATTGATGATGGAGCATAGGGGTTTAGCAAGCTCCGGAGAGAACTCCTTGAAGAGTTTCATTGGTAAGTCAATGGGGGTGGTAGAGCGTTTTAATTTTAGTTTGTCCAGGCGTTTTGCTACTTCAAATTCTTCTACTAAGTCAGTGGGAAGGGGGGCTGGTAGGTAAGCAGGGAGAGTGGTTGTGTCAAGCCGGGGAAGCGTCTGGCATATAGTAGCGAAATGGTTATTTGTTTGCTCAGCTGAGTCAACATTAGTGAGATGGCTAAGGAAGGGGAGGGGGTGTGTCTTATTGTTTAGTGCGTGAGTGCGTGTGTGCGTGCGTGCGTGCGTGTACAGTATAAGGTTTACCTTGGCATGAGGTAGTGGAGATTCCAACCCCGTGCTTCAGTTGGCTGACCAGTTCCATAATCGCCAGCTGGTTGACGAAGAGGCTTGCTCGAACTTCGTGACCATCTGACTGGATATAAGAGGTACCTGTGTCGACCGTGTTAATGCTTGTGGTTGGAGTGAAGAGGAGGGTGAGGGCGAGGGTAATAAGTAACAGGAGCGCCATGGTCTTTGTCACTGGCAGTAGAGAGAGGGACTGATGCTGGACAGTGGGCTGTGGCTCCTCTTATACTCTACGATAAGTGAACGCGTACATGAACGTACATGTGTTTATGGCACATACACACACACACACACACACACACACACACACACACACACACACAGGCTCTTTCATGGTTAGTAAACAGATCCGTTGGGATGCTGAGATCGAGGAGGAAAGGAGACGAACATTCCTACAGACCTACACGTCCTCGGTGAAGGCAACTCACCCTCTCGCTGCTAATGGACTGATTTGACGCCACAATCTTAACCCTCCTCATAAGATGTTAATGAGTTACACTATTAAGTTAGGTTAAGTTAGGTTAGGTTAGGTTAAGTTCAGTAAGGTGAATTTATTTAGCTAATGATAATAATATATGTATCATATATCCTACACAACTTTGGAGATGTGTGTGTGTATGTGCGAGTCGACCTGTGGTGTATTGGTCAGCATCTTTGCCTTGCAAGTGAGTGGACCTTGGTTCGATCCCCGCATCAGAGGCTTCTGAAAAAAATTAAGGCTCATGGTATCGAGGGGAAAGTTTTAAATTGGATAAAATCATGGCTCACCGATAGAACGCAGAGGGTCAGCGTAGATGGTGTTAAATCTGAGTGGGGCCGTGTAACCAGTGGGGTTCCCCAGGGGTCAGTACTAGGCCCACTCTTGTTCATAATCTACATAAACGATTTAGATACAGGGATCAGCAGTGACATAAGGAAGTTTGCGGATGACACCAAAATAGGGCGGCAAATTAATTCAGGGCAAGATGCAAATGCATTACAGGAGGATCTAAATAAACTGCAGGGGTGGTCTGAAAAACGGCAAATGAAATTCAACACCAGCAAGTGCAGCGTACTTAATATTGGAAGAACAAATACTTATAATGTATACAGCCTTAACAACATCAACCTAGAGAAGTCGACTTGTGAAAGAGACCTCGGGGTAATTGTAAGCCCGGACCTACGGCCTAGAAAACAGTGCGTTAATGTTCGAAATAAGGCAAACAGAGTATTGGGTTTTATATCTAGACGTGTAAGTAACAGGAGTGCAGAGGTCTGATTGCAACTATATCTCGCGCTAGTTAGGCCGCACCTCGATTATGCGGTTCAGTTCTGGTGCCCCTATTATAGAATGGTATAAATTCACTAGAGTCGGTGCAGCGAAGAATGACGAAAATGATTCCGGGACTTAGAAACCCTCCATATCAGGATAGGTTAAAGAAACTTAACTTGCATTCCCTAGAAAGACGAAGAGTGCGGGGAGATATGATAGAAGTATTTAAGTGGGTGAAAGGAATCAATAAAGGGGATATAGATAAAGTTCTTATAATATCCGAGCAGGATAGGACTCGGAGCAACGGATTCAAGTTGGATAAGTTTAGGTTTAGGAGGGAGATAGGAAGAAACTGGTTCACAAATAGGGTGGTGGACGAGTGGAACAAGTTTAGCAACTTTGTAGTAAGTGCGGGAACTCTGGAAAGTTTCAAAAGGAGGCTAGATAGATTCATGGATGATAGAGAGTGGTAGTAATTCTCGATAGGAGCTGCCATGCACAGGCCAACAGGCCTATTGCAGACTCCTTATGTTCTTATGTTCTTAACTATGGGCAAGTTTCTTTACGTCATTTGCCTCTGTCTACCCAGCAGTAATTGGGGGGACCTGGATGTTAATAGATTTGCCGATCGTATTCTGGAGAAGTGGTTAGCCAGTGCAGTTAGCGAGTTGTCCGGTCGTCTCGGACTATTCCTGGACACCGGGTCATGCAACTCGTTAACTTAGGGTGTGGTTGTTGTGTTGGCAACAGCTTCTACACCTTAAACAAATTCACGCCATCCTCGAATTCGAGGGGCTTCCATTATTATGTGTGTGTGAAGGTAGACTATATAAAACACTTCTTTACACTTCACAGGCGAATTGGGAATATAACAGATCACAATACAAGAGGACTCCTATATACCTTACCTTACCTTACCTTACCTAACCTGACCTAACGCATCCTGTCTTGACCTGACCTGACCTGACCTAACCTAACCTGACCTCGCCGGTTATTTCATTGAAAGAAAGAGAAATATAGAGGAAAACACACACACACACACACACACACACACGAGCGCCAATGTGGCGCCTGGGAGAAGCAACCATCTTTGTTTTTGTGAGTATTTTTCTCATCTGCGACATGGATGTATGTATTACCAACGTGGCGCCTGGGCGTTGCAACAAGTGTTGTTGTTGTTGAGGTGTGTGCGTTAGGGCATTTTTCAACCTCCTGCCTTCGTCTTATAGCACCCGGTAGAGCCATTCCTTCTCTCCCCTCTACCATTTAGAACCATTCTACACACAAAACATAAGAACGCAAGAATGGAGAAAACTGTAGCCGGCCTTTTGGCTCATAGTGGGCAGTCCCGTTTACACCAAACCCTTATCAGCTTGTCTAATTTAAAACCACTCAACCAAAAACTCGAAGCAAACATCTCCTGTACACTTTATCCACTCATGAAGGACATGCGCAACACATGAACAGACAGAGGGTCGACTTAACCAGTGAGTGACGTCATACGATCTTATGGTAATACAAACAAGACGGACGTTGTTGACACAGTTGCACCGGGGAGAGCGGGAGGGAAGAGACAGAGAAAGAGAGAGGGTAGAGGAAGGAAGGAGGAGGAGAAGAAAGAGAGAATGAGAAAATGAGATAGAGACACAGATGGTCGAGGAACGAGAGAGATAGAGGGGGAGGAAAAAGAATAAAAAGAGAGAGATGGTCAAGGAAAGATGAAGAGGGGAGGGAGACAAATTAAAAATGAAAGGGAGGGAGAAGGACAGAGTGAGGGACCGTAGAAGAAGGGGGAGGGATTATAATGCTCTAATACCAAAACAAATCTTATATGAAACGGTAAACTTAACCATAAATAATATATATATTACCCATTAACTTATAGCCATAAAAGATCTTTATTTATCACAAACTTAAGTTCCTATATAAGGCTTAATGGACCGTCACACACACACACACACACAGTGCTACTTTGCTGTCACTCGGAATCGAGTATGACGATCTTCCAGCTATAATATAATGATACGAGTTATTAGGGACGTCACCTTCGTTGGTGAGTTCTGAGGTTACTAGAGAGGCCGATACGGGACCGGCAGGGTCGTCCACAGATGTTTCACGTGTGGAGGGCTACATCTAGTGCAGGAGGGGAAGCGGCACTGTCTTCTCGGCGATGGCGCTTGTCTGCCGTGGTATACAGTCGAGCTAACTCGAAAGTATTGTCACCTCGCGCGGTGCTCCTCCAAGCGTTACAGTGTGGAGTAATCGTCTCCCAGGTTTGTCTTAAGACTATCCTTATACCTTTTCCTTTGTCCGCCCAAATTACGTTTATCCTGTGTGTACACGAGATGAACATTTATGCCTGTAACTAGGTGATTATCATCGTTGGTTTGTTGAATTAGATGGCCAGTGACCTATGGGGGAAGTGATCACACCGATGATGTCAAACTATTAGGAATGAACGTACAATACCAGTTAGTATTAATGGTAAAGTCGTCGCCTTAATAGAGGTGTGTGTGTGTGTGTGTGTGTGTGTGTTATTAACGGGTTGGTGCCAGTACAGTGCAAGGATCATCACCCCACTTGTTCCGAGCCATTGATCTCATCAGTACCGGGAGCGCTGATGGTAGAAAGGTACCGCTCTTGAGTAGCAAGCAAGATGCCACAGGTTCGATTCCCGGGCCGGTGGAAAAGTTGTTTGGACATACTTCCTAACCCCATTGGTCCCTGTTCACCTAGCAGTAAAGTAGGTACCTGGAGTAAGTCGAAAATTGCGAATTCGTATTCAGGGAAAGTTGTTGGAGCTTCCAATAACTTGACATAAAACCAATGACTCTTCAGGATTCTACGCCCTTGACTCATGAGACATAAAGGCAAGCATGAACTTAGCATGCTTCACTGTTGGACGCTGTAAACGCTTCTGCGCTTCATCTTACACAAGGATGTAAGGGGGTGCCCGCCTGTCCTCCAGGTCGTGACACAAAGGTCCCACCAGACTCCTGGCCAAGACAAGATTTACAGCCAGGTATAAGATTTACCTAAGATGAGTTTCAGTATGATATCAAGTTGGGTGTTTTTGTTTTTTCGTGATAAAACATTGTAATCTGAGCGTCCAGTTGCTAACGTATCTTCCTTAACGAGAGGTTCCCTGGCAGATGGAGTGAATATATTGTGCCTACCTCCTGGCTCCCTACGGCCTCCTGATACTACCCCCTTACACTTCTTGTAAGGGGGTATATACGATTATGCCTTAGAGACCCTTAATCGCTATCACTGGAACACTTAGTGCAGTACAAGGTTAACCGACGGAATCCGCACAAGGTGAACCGACGGGATCAGTATAAAGTTACCCGTCGGAATCAAAAGATTGACGAAGGTTATGCTAAGTGACTCGCGGACTGAGGAGCAGTATCGGGTGAAGGGTGTGTTGCCGTCCACTAACTGCTTGAGGTCTCGAGAACAACACACAAAACCACGACTCTGATACAGGTATGAGTGTCATATACCCGGTTTTATAATTATATTTACAGATATGTGATCACTGTTGTCAGCTGAGTCTGTTTTAATGTCTTGAAAGTTAGATCCTTCAACGTCACTACACAACAATATATATAGAAACTTCGAGGCACAAAACACACACACACACACACACACACACACACACACACACACACACACACACTTTCATCATCAACTCGAGACTCCAGTGAAAAACTAAAAAGTCAAAATTAAATCACTATTATCATAATAATTGTCTCTCACAGATGGTGGCAGTAACAACTCTACACTTGAGGCAATATCGTGTACCTACTCGGGAGTCGTCGACCTTAGGAAACTCTGGTATGAGATGGGTATTTTTTAACGACGAATTCTTACGCCAAGTCTAATAGGTAATATAACCCAACTTGTTAACTACGTCGTAATTTCCCCAAACGAGCATAAACATCAATTACATTAAAGAACTACTTGACCTAAATTATTCGTGGTGCAGAGAGACACTTGACCAATATAAGTATGGTGTAATACATGTACTTACTACTGAAGACACATGAGCATCAAAACATCAACAGCAGCAGTGAGAGGCATTTCTTCCCCTGTAACAATGACCACACAACCGCTGCACAGTTTACAACTCATCACGTAGAATACTGAACGTTCATAAAAATACTGGGCTGGATAAAAATACTGGGCGCCAATAAAATAAATTACCTAGCATTAAAAACAATTACTGGGCGTCAATGAAAAACAATACCGGGCGGGAAAAAAATACTGGGCGCAAATAAAAAATTACCGGGAGTTAATCAAAAATTACTGGTAGCTAAAAAAAATTCTGGGAGTAAAAAAAATGGCTTTAAAAAAAGAGGAAAGGCTTTACTTATTTTCTTGATACATATCAATAATCTACAGTCCATAGTTTTGGGGATGTTGTGACTTGTCGCTCATACAGTTATCATTCATAAATGTTGGTTCTCGACCATCATGTATTGTCCGGTTAAATTGGTGTCCATATTGCTCTTTTCATATAGATTGCCATGTTGAAGATGGTACTGTAAGTTGACATCTCTTAACAGTGTATGATGTCCGTCCTTACTACTCACAACATTAAGGAAAGGCGAAGTTGACAAGTTAACATAACGAGTGAATATTTTAGGGATTGAAATACGTGGATGCAACAAGTAAGGAGCACTCAGAGGAATCACTGTTATCGTGACACAAATTTAAGGGATCACCAGAAGAATCATCGCCTCAGCTTATTTCACCTAAAGATTAAACCACCCTAAAACTATTTTGGGAGGATGAGGTTAGGTTAGGATATGTTAGGTTAGATTTAGGTTAGGATAGAATAGGTTTAGGTTAGATTAAGTTAGCATTAAGGTAGTTATGAAAGGGATAAGATTATAATGCCAACCGAGTCATTTAATGAAATTTATATTATAAACGACTGATTAATATAGTTAATTGGGTACATTGCATAACAAGAATAACAAATGTACAATTATCAATATTACCTGATTATTCTTACTTTAAACATTAAATACACATACTATAATATACAACAACATAAAAACCTGATAGAAATGGCAGTTCAGGGCGCATGTCGAGGCTGCGATGGCCAACCACAAGGAACCAGGGATTACCGCCGTAGTCCACAACCAGCAAACCATCACAACACCACCAGCAGTAGTCCTTAATATAATCCTTCGTCCACACCCCGGCAGAAAAGGATCACCGTTGGCCAGAAAGAGACTGAGCTTATAAGGCAGACACGCTTGCCTTGATACCTCGGTCTCATAGTCGGATGGGAAACTGGTTCTGATCGGTGCTCACTGGTGTCGAGTAGGTTCGTGAAGCAGTTTCTTCTCCTGGAACGCTGTAAAGTTTCAAAGGGAGGATGGATAGATTCATGGATGATAGTGTGTGGTAGTAACTCTCGACAGGAGCTGCCATGCACAGGCCAATCGGCCTATTGCAGACTCCTTATTTTCTTATGTTCTTATGTTGTTAATCATAGACATTTCAAGCATAAGGATAGTCCGAGTACATTTTGGTACCTACATCGTACACAGAGCTCAATTATTGTATTTGTATGATCATACGTCTTGTTAGGCTGTCGCTAGCGGCCAGCTGCCCCTCCTCACTTTAGAGACATTCAAGTTTCAGCCTTACTGACATTTGCCAACAGTATTTTGACGCGAGTTTTTATATCAAGTCATTTTCTAATATTTTTCATGTTTGGTAAGTTGATCGATATTATTCCGAATTTAGTCGGCAAGATATTAAACACGTCATACTGGGTTCCCACATGAAACGATGTACAGTCCCCGTCATTAGCGCGTTTACAGGGGCTCGTCAAATAAACATTCAACAAATTATTACATTGAGATATTTGTTTAATATTGTTTTACTTTGATTCCATTGTAGGTTTACTATTGCCAGTAAATAAACACAGGGCTGCCACACAGCATAAAACCTGACGAGCCCCCTATAAATGCAATATTGAAGGGGACTATACATTGTTACTTCAAAACATTCAACTATGAAACTGGATTCACACATTAGAGATGTTGAACAAACTTTGAAAAAAATGATTCGATGGCCACTTTGATAAACACATTTTATTATTTTGATATAACATCAATTCCAATTCTCTTCATAAGTGACCCCATCCCTGATCTGTCAGTGATAATGATCACAGTAAGCACTTTATACAACCTAATACATGTGGTTGGTAACACTGTACTGGCCTAGTTAACAGACATGTTAACTCCTTACATCATGTTATACCAGTTCAATAAAATCTTAATAACAAAAGGCAGATATTGGTATGCAAAACTTTATTGGTCAAGATAATGAGAACTGTAATAGTGAAGATAACAGAGGGCATAACATACACCTGTGATATTAAAAATACTGATTTATTGTACAAAACTCAAAATCACACGTACTGTACTGTACTGTACTGTACTGTACTGTATATTGAGTGTATGTGTGCCCAGTGTCCACTCATCTCTGTAAGAGTGAGGAAAGAGACAACTGCCTGGTAGGACATCTTGACTCTACAAGATAAACCGCCATACCCAACAGGGACCACAGAGTCACAAGGGAACCTCAACTAACCTATGGACCTGGTGTGTTATATCTTATATTGGCTGATGCTCACATATAAAATTATAAGTATATTCACAATTAACATCATTCCATCCGTATTCACCTTCCTTATACCTTAGGTGGACACAGTCTTCATTTCCACCGTAGTCATTAGGTTCGCTTTCACTCCACAATGATGACCTCAAATTGATGGGTTTACTTGATACGTCATGCCAGACTCCCTCTGTAGCCAGGTCAGACCCACCCAGCCACAAGTGTTCACCAACTACAAGGAAAACAAACATCAACACTATAAAATATTACAGCAGGATTTAAAAATAATTATGAAAAAGTTGGACAGTTACAAATAACAGACACTCAGGGCAGACAACAATCACCTTGAAACAATTTAATTATGAGGAAGACCGCCTGCCAAAATGTATTTTCATTAGAACTCGGAGTCCTTTGTCCCGCCTGTCCTCGAGATGCTGTCAAAAATAAGACTAATCTTTATGGACCTTCAACATGACAGTAGAGTTTCTTTGTGATAAAACTATAACATGAAGAGGTCTCTCCTGAGCTTATGTCATTTTCTTGTCCACTACACAGCGTCGACAGCACACAAGCCAGATGGTTTGATTACATTTCATTTGTCATTCTTAACCTTTGTGTGATCTTGATATTGACCTTTTGTCCCAAAACACCGTACGATGGCTGGCCTGTCATACAACACAAGTTGAATTATCCCCAAGAGGTCACAAGGTATGGACCAAATACAGTTATAAGTTCTATGTGATCATTTATTTTCACTAGTCACGTCTTCTACTGGTGGTTCTTAATAACCTGTGCACCAGATTTCATTAATCAGTCATCAAAGGTTCACAAAGTATTGTCCGACTTAATTAAACTATCAACCAGCTGAAGCTGTACCAATAATTTTAGTCAACAGTTCAGCGTACTTATATAATTCTGGTTATACAATAAAGGTAAAATATTAGAACCTTCGGTTCTTAAGTAAATTTACTCGGTAGCTCTTTATATTTGGAGTACAACCTCCGGTATATAACATATAACACTTTTCCACGAGTCTAAAATTAAGCCATTCATTCTTTTGTCTATAGTAAACTGCAACGTTATAACAATATATTTCCACGTTTCTTCATCACTTACCGTTAAATGAGTTCAACAGAGAGATGAGAGTGCGAGAGTCTTGAGGGATAGCCAGGTCGCCTCCTTTGTTGTGGCACCAAGTACGGGCGTCGGCCCAGCTGACTTTTTCCTCCAAGTTGACGAGAAGGCACTGACGCTCTAACAGGAAGAAAATCAATAAAACTTATCCAAATATTAATGAGGAAATAAATTATAATTTGGGAAACTACAACAATTAACAATACCATGAAAAGGAAGTTTTACACACACACACACACACACACGAAGTTCCCAAACACTTCCCCGTAATTCACATCGAAAAGTCTCAAATAATATTAGCTAGACTTAATCCTTTAGGAAACAGGGTTATATGACGAACAATAAAACATGGAAGGATGAGCGTATCGTAGGAGAGGTTTTTGGTGAGAGCAGGAGAAAGATTTTGATCTTTTTTGTCAAGTTTTGAGTGGAGGTTTGAGAGGAGAGTTAGAATTTTATTTTGTATTTATTTATTCATTTATTTATTTATCTATTTATTTATTATTTATTTATAATTTTTATTTTTTGAGTTGTTGGGTTGGATTGGTTGTCTATTTTGAGGATATTGTTTGATTTGGTGGTGTATGTTGGGTTTTGTTTGGGGGGCATGTTGGGTTTTTTGTGTTGGGTTATGCATGTTGGGTTTTGTTTGGGGGGCATGTTGGGTTTTGTTTGGGGGGCATGTTGGGTTTTGTTTGGGGGGCATGTTGGGTTTGGGATTTTGGTGAAGGTCGGGTATGTTAGGTTTTGTTTTGGGAGGAGTTGTTAGGTATGGTCAGTGGTTGGATGGGTTAAGCTATTCTATTGGGTGGGGGTTGTTAGTAAAGGTTGTTAGTGTGTGGGTTTTTTTATGCCTAGGTCGCACACGAAAAGCCGCCTCGGACGCAAGGTTAGGTTTTGCTTTGGGAGGTGTTGTTTGGTATGGCTAGTGGTTGGTTGAGTTGAGTGTTTTTGGGGGGGGAGGAAGATTGTTAGTAAGGTCGAGTGTGTTAGGTTTTGCTTTGGGGGTAAAGTTAAAGGCTGGTTGGTTGTGTTGCATTGTTGTTGTTGTTTTTTTATTTATTTATTTATTTATTCACTGATTTATTTTTTTTGGAGGGGGGCTCTTCCTTCGGTGGGTGCTGCTCGCTTGTGTTGCCTGTCCTTTGCGCAGGTGCCTGGCGGATCCCCGTCGTTCCTCCCTTTCTTGGGGTCATCAGGTTACTATACTCTGGCTGTATTGCTAGTATCGAGGGGGTAAGGTGTGTTTGGTCTGTTTAGTATGAAGGGGTTCCTGTTTCTGAGTCTGCGTGGGAGGATGATGTTGTCCAAGTATTCCTGCCATTGAGGTGAGTGGTGAGGAGGGTTTCAATTTGCCTGTTGCCTAATTGTCTCCAGTAAATGTTGAGTGGTGGGATGGAGCTGAGTTCATGTAAGTGTCTGTTTGGGGTGAAGGATGGCCAGTGTGTGTTGTGTAAACCGAAGTGCTTTACTTTGTATGGCTTGTAGTTTCTTGGCGTTTGTTGGTGCAGCTAGCTGTAGTGTGTTGGGTGCGTATGTCAGCAGTAGTCGTATGAGAGCTTTGTATAGGTGTGTTTTGGCTTTGGTTGATGCGAGTGTTTTGTTTGCGATTGCTGCCTTCGTCCTGATGTGATAGACCATGGTTAGGGTGTCGTCGACGGTGAATCCCAGGATTTTGCTTGTTCGTTTGACAGGGATGGGTTTTCGTTTGTCGATGTAAGGGTAAGGTACATGTGGCGGGGTTGTTGTCTGGTGCCGAAGTAAGTGATTTGTGATTTGTTGGGGTTTGTTTGAATTCTCCATAGGAGCTCCCATTGTGTGACTTGTTCGAGCTCCCTGTGTGCTTTGTCTGTGAGGTGGTCTAGTCCTAGTTTGTGTCTGACTAGTTAGGTTACGTCGTCGGAGTATTGTATAGTCAGGGAGTCGATGTTTATGGGGTCAGGCAGGTCGTTTGTGTAGAGAATGTACAGTGTTGAGGACAGGACAGATCCTTGTGGGACCCCTGCGTGCAGTGGAAAGTAGTCCAAGTGTGCGAGGTTAAACTTTATCCCCTTTTGTCTGTCTGTTGGTAAGTTGCATAGGAGTTGCTGTGACCTTTGGGGGAGGTTGAAGTTGGCACATATTTTGTATTTTAGTCCGTCGTGCCACACTGTGTCGAAGGCTTTCTGTACGTCTTTTGTGATCAGTGCTCTCTTGCGTGTTCCTTTGTTCATGTTAGTCATTAAGTTGAGTGCGCCCTGGGTTGAGTGGTGTACTCTGAATCCGAACTTCTTGTAGGACAGTATTTCTTCATCTTCAAGGTGGTACCTTAGTCGTTTGTTATATAGTCTTTCGAATGTTTTGCCTAAGACCTCAAGTATGCTGATAGGCCTGTAGTTTTGTGGGTCTGTTGGGTTTTTGTCTGGTTTCGGGATCATGGTACAGTAGCTGTGACTGTTTAGAAGAGTTTGGGGAAGTAGCCAGTAGCAAGTTGGGTGTTGTAAAGGTAGATAATGGCTTTGAATGTTTCTGGGGGTAGGTGCTTGAGTGTCCTATGTTGCTGTCGCCTGGTGTTTTCTTTTTGATTCTGTCCAGTTCCTGTTTTACTTCTGTTGGGGTGAAAGGTGCAGTGAGGATGTGTTCCTGTGGGAGTGTGGTGGTGTCTGTTATGTTATCTGGTGAGGTTCTTTCGTGTAGTATTGGTGTTTGTGTGATGATGTTGTTAATGTGGTCTAGGAAGTGTCTTTGTTGGGTAGGGGTTGTGGTTCCCAGTGTTGTTTTAGAGTTTGTGCTACTTCTGCTGGTTCTCTGATTCGTCAACCGTTAACTAGTAGATAATTGAAGGGAGGCCAGAACTCTCGGGGGTTGTGTTCTGTGCTCCTGGGCGGCCTCTACGAGTTTAGCCCAGTGAACCTCGTGGTCATGAAGGTGGCTGTGGGTGATGTGTGTTCTTAGTGTGGTGATGTCTGCTTGTAATGATGTGAGGTACTGTAAGTTTTGTTCAAATCGTCGCCTGTAGCAGTGTAGTAGGCGTCGAGTTCTTATGACGGGTATGAAGGAATATTTCTTCTTGTGGTGATGTTTTGGTTTGTGTGTGTCTGCTGTGGCGGTGATTGTGTTAAAGAGTTGTGACCAGGTTTCCTCTATCTTCCTTGTGGGTTGGTGTTCGAGGTTGAGTGCGTATTGTTTTTACGGGAGTGTGGTTCGAAAGGCATCCCAGTCTGGGTGTTGGGAGGAGGATGGGGTTATTGGAGAGGTGAAGTGTGATGGGTATGCGGTCTGAGCCTGACAGGGGGCCTGGAGAGATGTAGTCGAAATTGGAGGGCCAGTGTGTTTGTGATGACGATGTCGGGAGTGCCTCTGTCGTGAGCAGAGTAAAATGTAGGGAAGAAAGGACCAATGTGGTGAAGGTTTTTGTGTGACCAGTGTGTGTATTTGTTGGCAGCGGGGGTCGGTGCGGTTGTGTTGGAATGTAGTGTGATGTGCACTGAGATCGGCCATTAGTATTACAGGTATGTTTGAGTTGCTAAAGACGGAGTTCAGGTCTGCGAAGGGAATGTGTGAGTTTGGCCTTGAGTACGTTGTGCAAACGATCAACTGTCCGAGTTCAGTGTCAATCTTGGCTGCCATAAAATGTTTGAAGGTAAAGTCGGTGATGAATTCGTGTTTGATGGAGGATCTGATGAGGATTGCTACGCCCTAGTGGAGTTCGTGGGGTGACTGTCTGCTTGTGTAGCCCGGAGTGTTTGATCTTGGTGTTTGTGTATGTTGAGTTGAGGAGGAGAATGTCTGGGTTGTGTTCTTGGAGGAGGAGAGAGATAATGTGTTTGTTTGCAAAGTACTGTCTGCTCTGCAGTTGAATTGCATTATGGTGATCATGTTTGTGCTTGTGTGTCTTGTTTGTGGTTTGTTTCTTAGATGTGGTTCTGGGGTAAGGGGGTGTTGCGTGTGGTGTGGTGTGAGTGAGAGCGTATTCTGTGTGAGGTGTATGTGGGTGAGGGTTGGGCGATGACGTGGTTGGGTGCGGAGGAGTAGGGGTGCGGAGGAGTGTGTGATAGTAGTATGATGGAAGTAATTTTAGCGTCAGTGTCGGTGGAGGGCCGGTCATGTTGTTGGTCCAGTATGTGCGGGTCGGGTGGGTAGTGGGCGTGGTTACAGGACAGGAAACAGCGAGTGAGCATTAACGGCACTAAGTCCCATTGGAGCAATGTCACAAGTGGAGTTCCCCAAGGCTCAGTACTTGGACCATTATTATTTATTATGTACATAAACGACATAGATATCGGCATAGACAGCAACATAAGTAAATTTGCTGATGACACTAAAATAGGATGTGTTATTAAATCTGACGAGGACTCCGCAAAACTACAGGAAGATATAAACAAATTTTTCGAATGGTCTGAAAAATGGCAGATGAAATTCAACGTGGACAAATGTAAAGTACTCAGTATAGGAGATGTAAACAGGGAAACCAGATACCAGATGAACAACGATGCCATAGAGAAATCCGACTGCGAGAGAGATTTAGGAGTAATGATAAGTAGGAACCTTAAGCCAAGTAAACAATGTGTTTTTGCTCGTAACAAGGCTAATAAAGTACTTGGGTTCATACAAAGGAGTGTTAGTTACAAGACTAGCGAGGTCATCCTAGAACTGTATCTTGCGCTTGTGAGACCAAACCTGGATTACGCAGTTCAGTTCTGGTCACAGTATTACAGGATGGATATAGAATCCTTGGAAAGAATTCAGAGGAGAATGACAAGCACTCTGTTGCTGGATGACGTGCTGCTACCTGTTATGTGACGTGCTGCTGATATGTTGTGTGACGTGCTGCTACTGATGTGTTGTGACGTGTTGCTGCTGATGTGTTGAGTGACGTGCTGCTGATGATGTGTTGAGTGACGTGCTGCTGCTGTCCGTTGAGTGACGTGCTGCTGTCTGTTGAGTGGCGTGCTGCTGATGTGCTGATTGACGTGCTGCTGATGTGCTGAATGACGTGCTGCTGATGCTGTGTTGAGTGACGTGCTGCTGCTGTCCGTTGAGTGACGTGCTGCTGTGTTGAGTGGCGTGCTGCTGCTGATGTGTTGTATGACGTGCTGCTGCTGATGTGTTGTATGACGTGCTGCTGCTGATGTGTTTAGTGACGTGTTGCTGCTGTCCGTTGAGTGACGTGCTGCTGTCTGTTGAGTGGCGTGCTGCTGCTATGTGCTGAATGACGTGCTGCTGCTGATGTGTTTAGTGACGTGTTGCTGCTGTCCGTTGAGTGACGTGCTGCTGTCTGTTGAGTGGCGTGCTGCTGTGACGTGCTGCTGCTGATGTGTTGAGTGACGTGCTGTTGGTTGATGTGGTTGATTGACAATTGTTTGTATTAGGTGTCGTAACATAGGAAGACGTGGTACTGAGTGAAGTGTAGTTGTATACATTGGTGACGGGGTAGTATGGTGACGGGAAGTATGGTGACGGGGTAGTATGGTGACGGGGAAGTATGGTGACGGGGTAGTATGGTGACGGAAGTATGGTGACGGTAGTATGGTGACGGGGAAGTATGGTGACGGGGTAGTATAGTGACGGGGTAGTTTGGTGACGGGGAAGTATGGTGACGGGGTAGTATAGTGTCAGGGTAGTATGGTGACGGTGTTGTGTTGCTGACTGATGTGGTCACGTGTTGCTGCTGGCTGACGTGGTGGCGTGGTTCTGACGTTTTGCTGGCAGGCTTGGTGCCGTGATGTCGGGTGACGTGGTGTTGGGTGACGTGTTGCTAACTTACTTGATTTGGCTGACATGATATAGGATGCCGTGGTATAGGATGATTTGGCTGACGTGATATAGGATGCCGTGGTATAGGATGATTTGGCTGACGTGATATAGGATGCCGTGGTATAGGATGATTTGGCTGACGTGATATAGGATGCCGTGGTATAGGATGATTTGGCTGACACGGTAGATGGAGTGGTTGTAGGTTGATGATGTGGTTTTTCAATTTGTGTTGTATTCTTAACATGGCATTGTGTTGCCCTATGATTGTGGAGTGGTGTGCTTCTGGTTGTGGGGGAATGTATGTGTGTGGGTGGGGGAGTGTGTGTGATGGTAAGGAAGGCTTTAGGTGATCAAGTGGCAATAATCACCTGAGCGTATGTGGCGCTGTTGTGGTGGTGAGGTGGCTTTGCGCCTCCTGCCGCACCCGCACCACCTCACCTCCAGTGTATGTGTAATTCTAAGTAAGATGGTGGAAATAATCCTTATATGCAAGTGTAGTAATATTCATTACCTGTCTAGTGTATTCTGGTCATTGTGATACACTCTACTTACTCTTAATACCAATGATGTAAACAAATCACTGTCACTGACTGTTTAATAGTATTAGTACAGGATTAGACATGCAAGTGAATTCAAAGGAAAAATCACTATAATTAGTTTGATTTTCAAACTTAATTTTCTACTGTTGACAGTTTTTTTTAATTATAGAAGGAAGGAGGCTAGTGGAACGTAAGAGGTTTAAATGCTATCTTAAAAATACACAACTTATTAATCTACGAAAGTATAATAGTTAAAAGTATATCAAGAGTCATTAATTACTACTATATACTTAAAATAATAATGTTAATTAAACTCTTAATTGTTAGCACGTCCGAGAGAGTAGGGCCTGGGCAGATGCTAAACCTCGTAGAAATTGAGTAAAATTGAGACGTTTCACATGTTTAAAAACACGTTCTTGAGTAAATGTTTAAAACTAATCCGATAAGGTCACTTGTAGTCATGGTTAGGTTATTTCTTGGTGTTGGAAATATTTACCGCGGCCCCGATTCGCTTTATCCTTGACCCTTGGGATAAACTTGTTACAGGACTTGAAAAAAATATTACATGCTAACCCTAGTACTGCGTGGCCACTCTCCAAGTAAACTTTATGAACGTGTCAACTCCAATCCATTGGTTGTTACTGAATCCTTTTCCCTCCATCATCACATCACCCCATGCTGATATTCCTACTTTTATAGGCAGGCCTGGGCATTTTATATTATTAAGAACCCATCTCACTTTGCTAAAAATAGATGACTGTACATAATTTCTTTGTGAACATTCATTGATAATTTACACTAATATGGCACCTTAGGCAGAACTTCATCATGTTGTAATCAAAGACCCCCGCTACAGGCACAGCACTACATCATGCGAACTCGGAACAATGGTTTTAAATTAGACAAATTTAGATTTAGGCGGGAAATAGGTAAACATTGGTTTGGAAATCGAGTAGTGGACGACTGGAACAAGTTACCAAATATCATCATTAACTCGAATACGCTGAATAGCTTCAAACATAGTTTGGATGGATACAGGAGCAATAGGGGTTGGGTGTAAATGGGACTGCCCAGTATGGGTCAATTGGCCCGCTGCAGTTTCCTCCAATCTTATGTTCTTATGACTAATCCCAGGCATTAGGAACCTTGAGTATAGAGACAGGTTAAAGCATCTTAATTTGCACTCCCTCGAGAGACGTAGAGCGAGGGGCGACCTGATAGAGGTGTATAAGTGGAAGTCAGGGCTAAACAAAGGGGACATTACAAATGTACTCAAACTATCCAACCAGGAGCGAACTCATAACAATGGTTTTAAATTAGACAAATTTAGATTTAGGCGGGAAATAGGTAAACACTGGTTTGGAAACAGAGTAGTGGATGAATGGAACAAGTTACCAAATATCATCATTAACTCGAATACGCTGGATAGCTTCAAACATAGGTTGGATGCTTGTATGAGCAATAGGGGTTGGGTGTAAACGGGACTGCCCAGTATGGGCCAATAGGCCCGCTGCAGTTTCCTCCATTCTTATATTCTTATGTTTTTAGGGCTAGGGATTTTAGTGCAATGGCATCTGTTTGTGTTGCTGTGGTGATTTTGTGCATAGGTAGGATTCCCATCCGAGTTGCCGATGTTATTTTGTTGTTGTTGCGTGAGTTTAGTTCGGCGTGGAGAGTGGTGTTTTCCAAGAAATGAGGGATGATTTTCCGGCATATCAGGGCGCATTTTGCACAGTACTCAGTCGAACTGAGAACTGTGAAGCCATTATCTTGGAGTTTTTTACTTGCTGCTGGGGAGTGGAATTGGTCTTCATCTTCATCAGTTTGGAGGAATATTTTTATTATTTTTTTCATTGATGAAAGTTCTAGTCTGAAAAATTGGGGTCAGCTTGAAGATCAGTGAAGCCAGGTCTGAGGATTGCTGGCGGGTGCGGTCCACTTTAATTTTTATGGAGGGCATGTTCCCGAAGTCCTAAGTGGAGATTTGTGGAGATCTCCCCTAACAGGTGTCCCTAAATTCATGTGACCCTCACTAAGGGGAGACTTTGCACGCTCACACAGGTCCCCGGTGAATTGGCAGGCTCTGCTGACCCTTTTTCCAATACACACACACGCGCTGGGCGAGGTGTGGGGACAGAGGGCGTCAACTGACAGAGGAGTAGGCCCTTTCACGGCAGCGGAAGAGAAAATAGGAGAGATAGGGAAAGGTCTGATAACTCACGAATGGTCTCTCGTCACACTAGATCCCTCAGCAGTATTCGGGGTTTCTAAGGGAGGTCCGATACCATGGGAGAGATCAAGTATGTCAATCGAGCCAAACGATTTGGCAGTTTGTCTTTTTTTTGGGATAGAGGTGTTTTGCGAGGCACAGCAAGCCAAGGGGGTTGGGACAGTGGAGGGGGTGGAACAACCTTAGCAACTTTGTCTTAAGTGCTGGAATGCTGGAAAGTTTTAAAAGGAGGCTAGATAGAGAGTGGTAGTAACTCTCGACAGGAGCTGCCATGCACAGGCCAACCGGCCTATTGCAGACTCCTTATTTTCTTATGTTCTTGTGTTCCTATCCCTGGAGCTGCCGCTTGTACTCGGCTGGCGTCCCTGGAGCCGCTGTTTGTGCTTCTGCTTCGGCTGGCAGCTGTGTGTGTGGCTCCACTTATACTCTACGAGAAGTGAATGCACATATGAACGTACATGTGTTTATGGCGCAACACACACACACACAGGCTCTCTCAGGGTTAGTAAACAGATCCGTTGGGATGCTGAGGTCGAGGAGTAAAGGAGACGAACATTCCTACAGACCTACACGGGCTGAGTGAAGGCTACTCACGTTTCTCGCTGCTAATTGACTGGTTTGGCGCCACAATCTTAATGGTGTAACTC